ACGTGTCCAGAAACTGCTTTTACAGACGAGTTCTTTGGTTCACACGTAGGCGAGGCGGCGCTTGTGGTCGAGCTGCGGTTTGTTGAGGAACTTCTGGCAGCTGCAGGCGAGTCGTAGGTGTGAATGAGTTTGTGGTAGACGGTCACCTACAAAGAGCTTCTATTGTAACAGGAATAGACCAAAAATGCAAGCAGAGGACGTTTATAGTGCAGAAAAGTGCAAGAATGCATCAAGTAAGCTCAGAAAAGTTCCTTAATTTGGATGTAAAAGTTGTTTTTTCTTTAAATTTGGTTAATTAAAGCAGCCTGTTTGCTAATAAATCAAGTTTATACCTGCTGACGGCTTTTTTTATTGGACGAGATCAGACATGGTGACTCTACATCCAGTCGTCCTCAAATGTATTCATCCTCTTCCTTTAAGGAAAAGGCAAAATTCACAACAGTCACTCAAATAACTAGAAACTGAAAAAAGTAATAATAAATAAAAATTTGCTAAATTATAATGTAGTGAAATAAGACATTGTTTTTGAATTGTGGTTGAAAAGCATAATTTAAAAAACAAAACTGTCCCGGAGAAATGAGCACACTTTGCTGATGAGCAGTGAATCCAAACACCTGTCAACAGGTGCAGAAGTCTGACTGAGAGTTACAGAAAACACCTGATAGCAGTGATTCCTTCTTTAACTGGAGGTTATGAATACATCTGAGGACGACTGTATTCTAGATATTTCACTATTTACTTTTATTTTTCTGCAGTTCAGCAGAAAAGTCTTTTGTCATGAGGCTGTTGGTTGGAGTCACTCAAAGCTTCTTTGTTGCACCGAAGAGGCCCGAATTTTGAGTTTTTTGCAGAATCTGGGTAGAAGAAATGATTTATTTTTTGCTTTTTTTTAATGTTTTTTTAGATGAGACGTGCAGAATAAATAGATTTTGATGGAATATCACAACTTTTCTAAGCTGAGATCTCCTTAAAGAGGCAAAACATAAACCCTCTAAACTTATTAAGCCTCAGTGCAGCACTACGCTAATTAAAAGCATTTTGTTGTCGTCGTACTGCTTTGGTAGTTTGCTCTTATTCTTTGTTTGGCTCCTCACAACCCCACGTGGTCCGTTTATTTGTTTATTCTCGGTCAGTAGGTGTATTTCCTGCAACCAGAGCTGCTTCCAAACAGGATTCAGCCCCCAATCTGGTGATGTGTTTACCCTCCCGATAGCGGCCACGCCCCCCCTGAACGCACCACGATGCCACCGGACCTCGACTGTCACCTTTGAGATGTCATTAGGAGAAGTGGGTCGAGGTGGAGCTGGTTAAACATGGCGTCGGCTCACGTAGGCCATGGCCGCCGCCACCACCGCCGCTGCTGATTCAGAGGGCGTGTTCGCGCCATAAAGCTCTATCGCTGCTTGTTTTGGTGTGTGTGCATGAAAAACTGTTGAGTGGAAGGAGGTGATAGTAGGTTCTCTCTTTACTGCTGGTTGGTGTTACTCAGGGTTGCTGCTCTTTTTCTCAGGTTTTGAACGTTGTCCCATAAATTGTCGACATTTGTACAACACCAACAATAGCACTGATAAAGACTGTTAACCCTTTAAACCTCCTGGTGCCACGTAAAGTCCTGCATCTCTATGGAAACAGAACAACCGTGAATAGAAGTAGAGACCTCAGGTATTATGTCATAAACCCTAAAAAAAGAAGGAATGAAAGTTGAATTTATGTGATTGTTTATTTTATTTTAATTGGAAAAAAGCTGGAATCAGTATCATTTTTCCAAGTGTCCATGCAGCCGATACTGGAGCCAGACTCCAAATGGATGTTTTACTATTTACTCTTTTATTTGGTTTTCATACTTGTTTCCTTTCTGCTCTGTGGAAACACTGCCTGCAGTTCAGCTGGAAAAATCCCAGAATTTTTGTAATGTGACTGTTGGTGGCAAATCAGTCACTCATGGCTTATTAGTTGGGTTATAGAGAGCAGAATTTTTATTTTTTTTACAGAATCTGGATAAAGCAAACGGCTTATTTTTGGAGAATTTTTAGATGAGACATAGAATAAAGTGATTTTGAAGAAATTTGATTTTAAGCTGATCGGAAAAAAGTGAGAACTCGGCGGATCTTTTCTGTTTTAGTAGATGTTGTAAATAAATAATTTCTTCCATTTTTTCAGACAAGACATGTAAATGAATTGATTTTGATTAAATATAAAAATTTTTAGGATGAGATTTGGGTAAATTTTCTGACAGAACATGTTGTAGTAGAACATGAGTAGTTCAAGGACCGTCGGAAATTTGATAACCTGATGATTTGTATGGTTTCTGCCTCTGATAAATGGTGCTACTTTGTTTGTTTTAAAAGATAAAATCCCTTTTTTGGCATACAAAGTGTTAATAAGGACTGTTTAGGCCTGTGACTCCCTGTTCAAAGACGAATTCTTAGTCATTAAAGTCACACAGACACAAAAGATTGTTACCAGCGCGACGGTTTTACAGCCTCTGCGTTTGCATTTGGAACATAATATTACATTATCTGTTCTAACAACCTCAAACATATAGCTGCCGTCATAAATGCAGCAAACGGAGAGCGCTGCCTCCACGGAGGTCACAAATGGACATTAAATAGGAAGATTAGTGTTGTTTTAAAAGCAGAAGGTGTCGACACCGAAATCAAACTGTAGTTAATTGAGGAGCACGGCACATAATTATATAATATACACATTAATATTGGTTTTATTATTACTACATAGGGGGAGGTGCTGCTACTTCTGACGCAAGATCACCTCCAGTCAGAAATGTGATTAAAGAAATATCGATGTGGCGTTTCCAGACGTCAGCGGCGGCATCAGACCCATTGTTTCAGGGAGACGGTTTAATGGCGCCTTTGTTTCCGTTTCTTTTTTTTTTGTTTTAGCACAATGTGATAATGGGGATGGGGGTGTAACGTTGCCTCTGGAGGTGTTGGATTGCTGCCGTGATGTTAGCAACAAACCTTGCGTCCTGATAAATATTTCACTGCTGGACTGGTGGGGATGTGCAGCAGCAGCAGCAGCAGCCAATCAGAGGCGGCGAATCACACTTCAGCCGTCAGGGTCATTAAAGCAATAATTAACTTACTAGTAATGGTGATTATTGGTTTAAATGTCTTTTTGACGCCTCTGTTGGAGGCATTAGAGCATTTGTTGAAACCTTTTGGCTTCAAGTTGTGAAACTCTGCTTTTTAATTTGGCTTTAAACCAAATAAAGTGCTGCTCTGAGGTTTGACTTTGCAGCTAAATCCATGATTTAACGCCAATAAACACTCATCAAAAGGCAGTCAGTTGAATTCTAAAACCTAATTGCATGAAGATAAACCATCAAACCAGAGCAAAAAGTGGAAAAAGTAGTTTAAATGTGACTTTTTTTGTTGGTTTCATCCATTTTAATGCATTTTTATATGAAAAACGATCACTATCAGCTTAAATAACTTACAAGAATGTGTATATTGAGTGTTTAGCCACAGACAAAAGGACAAACAGAGAAATATTTTACTGTACTTTGTAGTTTTATTGCAAAAAGTACATCAATAGTCATTTTACAATTACAACTTCGCCTTCAGTTGACTCATTTTAAGAACACACTGGATGTTTCTTTCCCTTCTTTCATGCGTTTCAGTGCAGATCCGCATCAATTCTTCACTGTTTGCACATCTTGAACTAGTTTCTACTCGTTCATTGTCATATTTTATCTTTGACTAACTTTGGCTCTATCTTCAGATGATCAAACCATCGAACTTTGCATCATGTATTTGCATCCCAGTTTCTGGGATGAGCAATGACTTCATCATCATCATTATTAATTTTGAAATAAAATATCAGACATATCAACCCAAAATGAACGTTTACAGGCAGATAATGTCTGTCAGGCTAAAAGCTGGAAGTTTGGTGTGAAAATCTTCCCTAAAAATGTTTTTGTCCTTATTTTGCCGGGTGAACGTGTACTTTTAGAAAGGATCTTCCTGTGGACCTTCACAATAAGAGTCACTCGAATAAGAGACGTGATGTTTTCTGTACTTTAACATAAAAACATGTGCAAAAATAAATACAAAATAAAACTTTATTAGTCCCGGAGGAAATGATTGTGCCAGATATTGCCTAAAAAAAACAAATGATATACCATAAGAAATGCAAAAAAACTGAGACAGAATAAGTAAAATAAAGGAATAAGTTATAATATAATAACATAAAACTGTAAAAAGTAATAACTGCACTGGAAAAATTGGTAAATATTAAATAACGTGAATCTCTTTTATAGCTTGTAAAAGTTGGTTTATATCTTTTTATTTGCATTTTGCATCCTAATCTAATAAAAAATCCAATATAAACAAATAAAATTAGAGGGTTTTTTTTGTAGAAAAACAAATTAGACGTTCCTCTCATGGATTTCTATCAAAATGATTTAAAAACATTGAGTTTAACAGACTGATTTCCTGTGTCTCTGTGCACACGAGCTTCATACTCAGCACCACGAATGAATCTACAGAGAATCGTTTGGTTGGACAGTCAGATTTTTACACGACCATCGTGCTCTCCTACTCTGTTTGTGCACCGTGTGGTATTTGGTGTGGATCATGTGAACCCTCATCTGTCATTTAAGGCTGGTAGAACAATCCGGTTTTGACTTTTTGCATCATTTCTTGCAAAGAAAACACGACGTCAGCCGCTGCAAAAATCCTGTGCAGCAGGTTTGCTAAAGCCACACATAGTGTCAGAGCAGCGATTAATGGATTAGCCCGAAATAAGGCGAGGGAGGCCGGTTGTAGAGCCACAGAGAGGTGTAGAGGTTAACAATGGGTCACTGTAACTAGTAGAACTGGTTGATGGAGCTTTTACTTTCAGCAGAAAGGCCAGAATTGGAAATTAGACTCTACTTTGTGCATTAGATTGTCTATTTCTCTTTCACTTCTGCATGTTGCTACGCTACTGTCTTGCAGAAACAACACAATGTTCACACTTCCGTCTTGTTTTTCTTGCAGACTTTGAGAGAGAGGACGAAAACCAGCGACCAGACGGACGGGAAGACGGCAGGAAAGACGAAGGCGGAGGACGACGAGGACTCGCCGTACAGCCGCTGCAGCTCCGTGGATCTGGAGAAGGTGTGTTGTGTGTCTGTTGAAATCGTGCAGGATTACGTTGCGCCGCAGACGGGAACGAGAGCAAACATGCGAGTGTGTTTGGGTGACCGGGGATGAAGGAAGAGCCGACGGCCGGCAGGTCGTTCACCCCGCCTCCATCCCAAACCGGCCTTGTTTGTTTGCAGACTCTGAGGTTCTCACACTGCAGAGCAAACAAGCAGAAACACACAAAGAAGACAAAACAACAATAGTGTTGCTTCACACTTTAAACCAAATCCTAAACTGTCCCCTTAAACCTGTGATTCACAAAAACTCCCAGCGGGTTTGAACCATTTATCAGAGCCAGAAACTGTAAAAACAGAAAGAATTGCTCGACTTTTAACTTAAATGCATCCATGACGTGTAAGTTGGTTGTGAAAACTGACCAGATCCAAGCGTAAAATCGTAACATTTCCTCAAAATCGATTTATTCTGTGTCTCANTTGCTAAAACAAACCATGAACTTAGAGAGAAATCTGCACAAACAGTGTCCCGGTGAGGATTGTGCTCGATATCGAGATTATTTGACGTGAACGTTTCAGCTGTAACTGAAGAAGATGTTCTGCAAAACAGAGTTTAAATCCTTATAGCTCATTTATAGCTGCTGGAAGCCGAACTGACGCTAAAAATGCCTCCTGGAGTCACCAGACTAAACGAGCAGACCGGTCATTTTCAAACTTCTGCTTTCACTCTCACACTTTAAAGGGCTGCTACGTCCTTTAACCTCACTTTCACGGGACGGATGAACTTTCCGTGTCATTATCTGAGCAGATGATCGTCTTGTTTTTAACATTTCGTCACCTTTTGCACTTCGTGTTCCTCTTCACGACACTTCCTTTTCGCACGGTCACGCACCGTCAAGACACAAAGCGCAGACACATGTCTGCAGCTTTAATCGACTGAAACTGGCGTCTGATATCCGACTGTGGGGCAGTGATAGAGTTTAAAGCATGAAAGTTGGGTTTTGGAGCATCGTTTCTACAAAACATGAGCGTTAACATCTATAAGTTTGAGCTGCCTTCATTTAAATTCTCTTATTTAATGAGCTTTATTGTTCCTAAAAGGCCCAAACTGCACTTTTCTACTATTAATCCGACTAAAACTAACCTACAGCTGCTGTTATAAAATGAACCCTCTGCTCATTTAAAGCAGCGTAACTCGTGTCCTCTGCTGTTGTGATGACTTGATGCAAACCATGCAGTTCCTATTTACTTGTTTGTTTCCATGTCAGCTCCTTGGAGAGTAAACCTCGGGTTGGATGCGCTCTGTCAGGCCGTTATGCAACACGCATGTCTGCGTTCAGCAGCTCAGCTCATAGCGGCGGCATGTGGAGGTCTGCACATATTTGCCAAAGCAGGAACGTGCGCTGTGTTTGAGCTGCTCCGACCGTGACTTTAGCAAATAATGTGTGAGAATATTTATCGTTTTGATCAGTTTATTTTAAAAAAAAAAAGCTGTGCAGGCAGCAGCGGTTTGGACTTTAGTGTTTTCTTACATTTTAGCCACCAAAAACCAACATTTGCATTGAATCCATGTCGAGTTTATTCAAAGTTAAAACACAAAACGTGTCCAGAAACTGCTTTTACAGACGAGTTCTTTGGTTCACACGTAGGCGAGGCGGCGCTTGTGGTCGAGCTGCGGTTTGTTGAGGAACTTCTGGCAGCTGCAGGCGAGTCGTAGGTGTGAATGAGTTTGTGGTAGACGGTCACCTACAAAGAGCTTCTATTGTAACAGGAATAGACCAAAAATGCAAGCAGAGGACGTTTATAGTGCAGAATAGTGCAAGAATGCATCAAGTAAGCTCAGAAAAGTTCCTTAATTTGGATGTAAAAGTTGTTTTTTCTTTGAGATCATGAGGAATTTGGTTAATTAAAGCAGCCTGTTTGCTAATAAATCAAGTTTATACCTGCTGACGGCTTTTTTTATTGGACGAGATCAGACATGGTGACTCTACATCCAGTCGTCCTCAAATGTATTCATCCTCTTCCTTTAAGGAAAAGGCAAAATTCACAACAGTCACTCAAATAACTAGAAACTGAAAAAAGTAATAATAAATAAAAATTTGCTAAATTATAATGTAGTGAAATAAGACATTGTTTTTGAATTGTGGTTGAAAAGCATAATTTAAAAAACAAAACTGTCCCGGAGAAATGAGCACACTTTGCTGATGAGCAGTGAATCCAAACACCTGTCAACAGGTGCAGAAGTCTGACTGAGAGTTACAGAAAACACCTGATAGCAGTGATTCCTTCTTTAACTGGAGGTTATGAATACATCTGAGGACGACTGTATTCTAGATATTTCACTATTTACTTTTATTTTTCTGCAGTTCAGCAGAAAAGTCTTTTGTCATGAGGCTGTTGGTTGGAGTCACTCAAAGCTTCTTTGTTGCACCGAAGAGGCCCGAATTTTGAGTTTTTTGCAGAATCTGGGTAGAAGAAATGATTTATTTTTTGCTTTTTTTTAATGTTTTTTTAGATGAGACGTGCAGAATAAATAGATTTTGATGGAATATCACAACTTTTCTAAGCTGAGATCTCCTTAAAGAGGCAAAACATAAACCCTCTAAACTTATTAAGCCTCAGTGCAGCACTACGCTAATTAAAAGCATTTTGTTGTCGTCGTACTGCTTTGGTAGTTTGCTCTTATTCTTTGTTTGGCTCCTCACAACCCCACGTGGTCCGTTTATTTGTTTATTCTCGGTCAGTAGGTGTATTTCCTGCAACCAGAGCTGCTTCCAAACAGGATTCAGCCCCCAATCTGGTGATGTGTTTACCCTCCCGATAGCGGCCACGCCCCCCCTGAACGCACCACGATGCCACCGGACCTCGACTGTCACCTTTGAGATGTCATTAGGAGAAGTGGGTCGAGGTGGAGCTGGTTAAACATGGCGTCGGCTCACGTAGGCCATGGCCGCCGCCACCACCGCCGCTGCTGATTCAGAGGGCGTGTTCGCGCCATAAAGCTCTATCGCTGCTTGTTTTGGTGTGTGTGCATGAAAAACTGTTGAGTGGAAGGAGGTGATAGTAGGTTCTCTCTTTACTGCTGGTTGGTGTTACTCAGGGTTGCTGCTCTTTTTCTCAGGTTTTGAACGTTGTCCCATAAATTGTCGACATTTGTACAACACCAACAATAGCACTGATAAAGACTGTTAACCCTTTAAACCTCCTGGTGCCACGTAAAGTCCTGCATCTCTATGGAAACAGAACAACCGTGAATAGAAGTAGAGACCTCAGGTATTATGTCATAAACCCTAAAAAAAGAAGGAATGAAAGTTGAATTTATGTGATTGTTTATTTTATTTTAATTGGAAAAAAGCTGGAATCAGTATCATTTTTCCAAGTGTCCATGCAGCCGATACTGGAGCCAGACTCCAAATGGATGTTTTACTATTTACTCTTTTATTTGGTTTTCATACTTGTTTCCTTTCTGCTCTGTGGAAACACTGCCTGCAGTTCAGCTGGAAAAATCCCAGAATTTTTGTAATGTGACTGTTGGTGGCAAATCAGTCACTCATGGCTTATTAGTTGGGTTATAGAGAGCAGAATTTTTATTTTTTTTACAGAATCTGGATAAAGCAAACGGCTTATTTTTGGAGAATTTTTAGATGAGACATAGAATAAAGTGATTTTGAAGAAATTTGATTTTAAGCTGATCGGAAAAAAGTGAGAACTCGGCGGATCTTTTCTGTTTTAGTAGATGTTGTAAATAAATAATTTCTTCCATTTTTTCAGACAAGACATGTAAATGAATTGATTTTGATTAAATATAAAAATTTTTAGGATGAGATTTGGGTAAATTTTCTGACAGAACATGTTGTAGTAGAACATGAGTAGTTCAAGGACCGTCGGAAATTTGATAACCTGATGATTTGTATGGTTTCTGCCTCTGATAAATGGTGCTACTTTGTTTGTTTTAAAAGATAAAATCCCTTTTTTGGCATACAAAGTGTTAATAAGGACTGTTTAGGCCTGTGACTCCCTGTTCAAAGACGAATTCTTAGTCATTAAAGTCACACAGACACAAAAGATTGTTACCAGCGCGACGGTTTTACAGCCTCTGCGTTTGCATTTGGAACATAATATTACATTATCTGTTCTAACAACCTCAAACATATAGCTGCCGTCATAAATGCAGCAAACGGAGAGCGCTGCCTCCACGGAGGTCACAAATGGACATTAAATAGGAAGATTAGTGTTGTTTTAAAAGCAGAAGGTGTCGACACCGAAATCAAACTGTAGTTAATTGAGGAGCACGGCACATAATTATATAATATACACATTAATATTGGTTTTATTATTACTACATAGGGGGAGGTGCTGCTACTTCTGACGCAAGATCACCTCCAGTCAGAAATGTGATTAAAGAAATATCGATGTGGCGTTTCCAGACGTCAGCGGCGGCATCAGACCCATTGTTTCAGGGAGACGGTTTAATGGCGCCTTTGTTTCCGTTTCTTTTTTTTTTGTTTTAGCACAATGTGATAATGGGGATGGGGGTGTAACGTTGCCTCTGGAGGTGTTGGATTGCTGCCGTGATGTTAGCAACAAACCTTGCGTCCTGATAAATATTTCACTGCTGGACTGGTGGGGATGTGCAGCAGCAGCAGCAGCAGCCAATCAGAGGCGGCGAATCACACTTCAGCCGTCAGGGTCATTAAAGCAATAATTAACTTACTAGTAATGGTGATTATTGGTTTAAATGTCTTTTTGACGCCTCTGTTGGAGGCATTAGAGCATTTGTTGAAACCTTTTGGCTTCAAGTTGTGAAACTCTGCTTTTTAATTTGGCTTTAAACCAAATAAAGTGCTGCTCTGAGGTTTGACTTTGCAGCTAAATCCATGATTTAACGCCAATAAACACTCATCAAAAGGCAGTCAGTTGAATTCTAAAACCTAATTGCATGAAGATAAACCATCAAACCAGAGCAAAAAGTGGAAAAAGTAGTTTAAATGTGACTTTTTTTGTTGGTTTCATCCATTT